GCAGATTTGTTTTGGTGGCGTGGGGGTCCAAGGAAGCAGCAGCATTTCGCCGTGGGTCAGTGCAGCAGGAGCAGAGGCTGCGAGCCAGGACTGACCATAGGGAAAGAGGTGGCCTGCTAGGGGATCCACAGAAGTCCCGGGAAGGGTTTTGGACTTTGGAAAGGTGTGGAATGAGGGTCTGAGTTGATCTCAGGCTCATCGGCATGGAGAATTCTTGCCCGGATTCATCCATAGTTCCCAGACTGTCACTGCTGATGCTCAGAAAGGCCATGTTCCCACCTGTCCATGCTGGTGTCAGCACCAGAAATGGCCATGTGGATAGCCCATGGCAACTAAAAACCCACGTGTGCATGGAGAAGAGCAGGGCAGGGTGATTGAAAGGAGCCCAGCCTCTCTTCCCTCTGGCTATCCTCCCATTGCTATGAAAGGCTGGAGACCTTGCCTGTCACTCTCCCTCCCCACCCCCCACCTCTTTTAGTCAGTCACTAAATGTCACCATCTGAAATGGCTTTCAGATCCATTCCCTTCTCTCCATCCCCATCTCCCCTCCTTTAGTCCAAGTTCTCATTATCTCTGTACCTGGACCCTTGCACTTTCTCTGGCCGGGGATACCTATCTGGCCCAGCCCTGGCTGCCAAATACAACTACAACCCTGGCCCTTCCCTGCTTTAAGCCTCTCTGTAGTTCCTATGACTGGAGCAGAGTGAAGTCTGAGCTCTGCAATGCTCAGCATGCCCAAGGCACCCTGCCCACCCACAGCCTCGGCTCCCGGTACTCCCCCAGTCCCTTGTGTGCCTCCACCACACAGACAACCTGCAGCTCCAAGCACTCCCTGGTTCTCCCCGCCTCCTGGCCTGGGCTCACTCTTTCGACTTAGCACAGTGATGCGTGGGGTATGGGACTGACCCACCAGTGGGCCTCAGAGCAGAGGCAGCTCCATAGTTTATCTACAGGAGGAGCTTGGAGGCAGCAATCTGGTTGTCTTGAAGCTGCATTTGCATAGCAAGCATTTTGTTTTTATTTAGGTGTTAGGTACAAATCAATAAAATTGCAAAACTTTCCATAGATGCATAATTCACAAATTCACACTTGAAATAAGATTGAGAAAATGTCAACTCTCTGCATTAAAAACTATAAATCCTTTTATTCTGACAGCCTGTAGGAGGGACAGGGAGACAATGGAGGGATGTCAAAGTACATCTCTTCCGCCCACCTCCGCCTCTTCCTCCCCACTCCACAGCCACAGGGCCTTCTGGATGGGCTTGGGACACATCCAAAAAATCAATCTTTCCTTTAATTCTCCTGTCACATGACATGTAACTATATAAACTTTCATTTTTATGTAAAAATAAGGGACCATTTACTGGTAATTTCTTAAATTATGAATTACTATAAAAATTTGATGTTTTCTCTCTCTCTTTTTTTTTTTTGAGACAGAGTCTGTCTCT